AAACAGCACTGGGCTTTAGGTTATAGTTTTACACTGGATGACCTCTGCTGCTAAATTAAAAGCTCATTCAGAATGTGGATGGCCTCCCTACTACACAACATGTGTTAATACATCTATAATAACTTTGAGCATGAACAAAACCTCATTAGATGGTTTGTTATTGTCGTGACATAGTATTGAGGTCCCTGATGGAGCCACAAACGCTGTGTTAGCTCAGTGTGATCGTCTAGTATGTAGCTGGAGCCTGACTCAGTCTGAAAGAAGCGGCCCAGGTTGGTGTTTGAGGTGTCTGTCACAGATCTATATGAAGATGCAGGGAAGTGTCTTGAGATGATCAGAAAAAGTACTAATAAAAGTACTGAGGGTCAATGAAAATGTAACTTAGCCACGATTCAGTTCCATCATCAGGTTGTGTAGGTCACAGAGAAATTAACAAGCTCATCTTCCAGTGTGAAAAATAATAAAAATTTATTCAAACAATTAATAAATTATTCTAGGTTAAAAGTACGGTTAAATCCATTAAAATTTTCTAATATGTTACAACTGTCACTTTAACTAGCTTTGAAAATGTTTTATTCACCAAGTCATTCACGTTTCTTTATTTGTAACATCAYACACTAAACTCAAAAATATTTAAATATTTTGCATCCATATTTACATTTCTTCCTTGTCTTTGGCTTCTCTGAGTCAGAGATGCTTCGCTCCGACTATCTGCTTTGGTATACAGTTCCTACCAGCAGTTCTTCAGATAAATATTCTTAGTAAGTTCAAATAAAGGCAACTTGCCTTCATATTTTTTGGAAGACATTCAGCTTCTCATCCAAGGAGCTTTTCTCAGGTTATACTGAAAAGTTTTGGTTAGGATGTTTTAGTCACACAAACGATGTTACAAAACTGTGCAAAACAGAGAATTAGAAGCAATTTGACACCAATTCACACCTTTATGTGACTCAATTGTATTCTATTTCGAMTAGGTCAAAGATCTTAACCTCCTACAGTTTGGGCTCCAAGTACGTGTTGCTGATGACTGTCGGCTATCATCACATTAAATTTGAGCTCAATAGCTGTAAAAATAATGGAATTATAGGGATTTTTTGTTTACTAAGGTAGATTAGCTGTGGCAGCCATCTTAATTTTGTTTCACTCCTAATGTTTGTTTGTTTTATATGTACTTAAAATGATTACATTTTGTGAGTTTAAATAAAATCCATCCACTGGTTCCTAAGAAAATTTGTTAACAGAGAAAAACACAAGCATGAGCACATGATCACCCACCGCTGTGAAAAGCAGGTAATGAAAAAACTATTGTGGCAGCTTGATGTAATAGTAATGCAGTAAATCAATTTCTGCAAATGATTTAATGCTTGTGTAAGAAAAACGTGATCAGAATCGGAGTCTGAGTAAGTTTGCAGAAAACCAGTTGRTTCTCTTCTAAAACGTTTTATTCAAAAATCTAACTCCATTACAGCTCACAGCCAGCCAGCCTGCCAGGCCTGGGGGTTTAAGGCCTTGGGTCTTATCAGAACCAAAACAACAACAATCCATCTCAGCAGCCCAGCGTCTGTCCCCCGCTAATCTAAGAGGAATAATGAAAACCGATGAATCACCCCTGTAAACTCACATGTATCCGACTTYYTGGTCACACCTCTGGGGGCGGTACCTTTTACATCACTGGAATGTATAACAAACTTTCTTTAGGCTATAGAGTGGGGCACATTACTAGAAACTTACTCTCACTTTCTCTGTTCAAAATATGTGACTGCACAAAGTGTAAAATACAAGATTTTTGTCACAAAATTTCCTTCACTTTTTTAGYAAAAAAGATGAATCCCAAAGGTGTGGGTGAAAAGAATTATTTCAGTCTAGTACAGTAAAGGTGAAAACAGAGAAGAAAACAAGCTGATAACTTGTKAGTCCACAGACCTTTGTCCATGCAGCTGTGGGCCAAATCAAGAAGCTGAGGAGAACGGGCCTCCAGGATCTGCTGGTGCAGGTTGATGTAGCGGAGCGTCCACCAGGGCATCAGCTGTGGAGTTAGATTTTTAAAAAATGGCTGTCATTTTTATCAAATGATTTCTGGTTTCAGTCAAATGAAGCTAAGATCAGATGAAAAAAAAAACACTTCTGGAGTCGTTCATTACACAAATCCACAGAAACAAATACAAATTTACTTCATGTCAAAGCAACATAGTGTCATACATTAATGTCAGGAAAACAATTTAAAAAAAACTAGAGACCAGATTTTTTCCACAGCTGTGAAACAAAGTAGCTTTCAAAAGAACATGAGATTTTTCAGTTTTTCTTTGAATTTATTAGTGTAACATGCATTCAGCTCAGAAAGTAAACCCCTGGGTGTAAAACCACATGACAAACGGATCTTCAGACCCCATCAGCACAAATAAAACATCCAGAGAGCTGCATGCTGAAGCAAAATGCTGAGTGTGCACTGAAGAAAAAAACAGCTAACTCCTTTACTTTTTGCATCTGACAACAACGAAAAGCAGCAGAGAGAAGGAAAAAAGGAGGGGTTTGTCTCTCAGCCACTCTGTGCTATATCTTCTATTGCAGCCCCCATCATATCCGTCAGTTCGTGTTAGCCAAGGGAAGTGGACCGTGTGAAAAGCTCATTTGTGTATCAGCAAGAACATATCTGTTGCTTTTCCGATAAAGGAAGTCTCTAAATCCTGAAGGTTTAATTGTCTGTCTGACCAAATCAATGTCCTCCAGCTTGTATACAGACTGTTCAACCATGCATCCTCAAATATTCTGGACACACACCTCAAAAAGAAGAGCCTTTTGTGTAGTTTCTACTTCTATACTTCTAATGTCCTGCAGTCAGTTTAAAGCAGTTCAAATTAAACTGGGTATTCCTTGAAAGAATCGTCTGATCCCTTTTGTGCCAGAGTTTAAAGCAAAGATCTTCCTAAGTATAGAGTTATAGCCATCATCAAGAAACCTTGTAAATTAACTGCCTCTCTAACTGCCTTCAGGAAATCAGGTCCTGGTTCTCCAACAACTTCCTAAAACTTAATAGTGATAAAACTGAAATTTTACTTGTTGGCACCAAATCTATCCTCTCCAAGATAAATAATTTTTCAGTTTACATTGATAGTTCACAAGCTTCTCCGTCTCCCCAGGTAAAGAGTCTAGGTGTCATCCTTGACAGTACCTTATCTTTTCACTCTCATGTCAATAATGTCACTCGGTCAGCTTATTTCCACCTACGTAACATTTCTCGCCTGGGTCCACCTCTTACGCCCAACAATACAGCCATTCTGGTTCATGCTCTGGTCACATCTCGCCTGGATTACTGTAATTCACTTCTCTTTGGCTTACCAGACAAACTCCTCCATAAACTACAAGTTGTTCAAAACTCTGCTGCACGGATTATCACCCGAACCCCTTCCATTTGTCATATAACACCAGTCCTGCAGCAACTACACTGGCTTCCCATTAAATGTCGCATCATTTACAAGATCCTCATTCTTACATTTAAGGCCATTAACAACCTTGCTCCTCCATTTATTTCCTCACTTCTCCATGCTTACATTCCTCCTCGCAATCTCAGATCATCTGCTTCTTCCAAACTGACTGTTCCTTTTGCTCACCTGACCACCATGGGGTCARGAGCCTTCAGCTGTTCGGCCCCCCGCCTATGGAACTCTCTCCCTCTGGACCTTATCAATACCGTCTCCATTACATCATTCAAATATCAACTCAAAACCTATCTGTTCAAGAAAGCATACACACTTGAACCATAAATCTAACTACCAGTATTCTCATAGTTTGCACTATTTTATTTTGTTTAGTTAACTGATGTATTGCTGTTATTGTTTTATTGTGCTTTTTATTATTGACTTTTGTAAGGTGACCTTGAGAGTTTTGAAAAGGCGCCTTTAAATAAAATGTATCATTACACGATGAACAATTTCATAATACACTGCGCAATCTTGCAAGATGTGTTATCACTCAGAGTATGTATTGAGGATATCTCTCTGCTACCACAGCTTGAAATTTTAGCTTAATATCTRGACATTTGACTTGATAATACCCGTTTTGTTTTTGCTATTGTTAAAAAGTTATGTTGGCCATCTTGCAATGACTTGAACCTAAAAGTTGTAGATTTACATCAAACGAGAACTTTGAGAGTGTCAATAAAATCCATTTTGACTTTCATGAGTACAATTGGGGGGGTGTTGCTTAACGACTACCACACCAAATTTTAGATTTTCTAAAATTAGCTGAAGAAATGTTTCTAAATTCTAGCTGGTTGTAGAGGCCATTTTGACTTGGGCTAAATCCAAAAGTTTATTCAGTTGTAGATGTTCACCTAATGAATACTTTTTCAATATTTCATTAAATTCCATCCAGTGGTTTACAAGATATTGTGCATATGTGACAAACACACACTTGCATGTACAGACAAGGGCRAAAACAGTGAAATGRGGTTTTAATGTAGATGAAGAGAGTWAAAGAAGGAACAAGACATTGGTGGGATTATTTACTTATAATCCCCCACCCCTCCATTCAAGGAGGCAAACAGTGCTGGCAGTTCATTTCCTTATAGCTCATTAGCATTTAGAGAGCATATTAACACTAAATCAGCCAACAGCACACAAGTGTTGAGGCATTAGTGTCCAGATGTTGATTATGATTTCTAGTGTTTGATGGGTGATGCAGAATGTTTCTTATAACAAGGATTTTCTGTGGCATGACTTCACTTTCCAGGGTTTCCCCTAAGTTTCTGGCCTTGGTGCCAGTGGCAAGCACACCCCCCCCCACACCCCTCCACCCCCAATATGGCAACTGGGTAGAGCGGCTGCTGGGGAGACCCGACCACGAATAAGCAGTGGAAGATGGAGATGGAAAAGGTAAGGCTTTAAAAAAATCTCTTGTAAACAAATGGAAGAATTCTAATAAATTTGTCAGAACGTAATCACTGGAGTTGATCTCATTTAAGATGGCAACTACAGCTAATCAACCTTCGTAATCACAAAAATTATCATAGCTGTCAGTTCCCTTTCAGTCAATTCACTCGGTACAACACATCATGTATGGGAAACCA